TATATCTCATATGGGAGAAAAAAGCTCAAAAAATGACCTAGAACCACAAAGAATTCTCGTATACTTAAAAAAAATTTTTTTTTAATTTTTTATTGACTTCTTAATAGTTTACATCATTGTGAAGTTTCAGTTGTACATGATTTCTTATCCATCCCTATATAAGTGCTCCCCCTCACCCCTTCCCCTGGTAACCACTGAACTGTTCTCTTTATCTGTGTGTTTATCTTCCACATATGAGTGAAGTCAAACGGTGTTTGTCTTTCTCAGTCTGGCTTATTTTGCTTAGCATAATACCCTCCAGGTCCATCCATGGTGTTGAAAATGGGATGATTTTGTCTTTTTTTCTGGCTGAGTAATATGCCATTGTGTGTATATATATATGTACACCACATCTTCTTTATGCAATCGTCGATTGATGGGCACTTGGATTGCTTCCATGTCTTGGCTATTGTGAATAGTGCTGTGATGATACATATAAGGATACACAGGTCACTTTGGATTGTTGATTTCAAGTTGTTTGGATAGATGTCATACAGTTTTTGAGAAGGAAGACATTTTCAGATCCTTGAGGAGTTTCCTTCTACATGTTATTGGAGTTATTTTAGCATAAGATGATAAATATACATATAATAATGAGGATGCTAACAGTCTACAACTGTTACACTGTGTGAATATTGAATGCAAGAGAGGAGGGATTGTTTTTGTAAGAACCAAATAAGTAGGTTGGGAACCAGAGCGAGGTTACCAAGGGCGTTTTCTGTGTGCTGCCCGTTGTGCATTAACGTCCCGCGGAGGTTCTGTGAGCTCTGTAACTGGTTATTTATAATTTTTCTTCCACACTACCAGAGTTTCTAAACAATGATACATTTTTCACAGGAAGAGAAGACAAGCCCTTTATGTAAATGCTAAATTGGATTTCTAATTTTCATGATAACATTCAAAGTTTACTATGTGGAAACTCATTAAATATTTGTTGAATGTTCAACGAAATAAGACTACTTTTATTCAAAACGCTCCTTCCATCCAGTTACATAATTGACACACACAAGCAGACGTTAAGAATTAATGACCTCTGTCTCAAATAAGGATGGCTTATGATAATTTATTTCTAAATAAAGGAGCCGAGAGAGGAAAAACTGAACTATACTCAAGTGTGTGACCTTTTGAGAGACAGAGACTCCTCTCACTAGCAGAGTTGCTGATGAGTGTCCCAGGTTAGTGTCCCCTGGAGACTTAGGACAGCCGTTCTTAACCTTTTTGGTCTTCACATTTTCAAATAATTGAGGACACCAGGGAATTCTTTTATGTGGATTATAGTTCTCTACATTCACCGTATTGGAAATTAAAACTGACATTTAAAAAAATATATTAGGTCATGTAAAAAAGATAAACTCATTACATGTTAGTATCAATAACATTTTTATGAAAATTATTATTTTCCACAAACAAAAATTTAGCCAGAAGAATGGCATTGTTATACATTTTTTGCAAATCTTTTTAATGAATTGCCTTAACAGAAGTTAGCTTCTATATTACGTTTGTTTCGCTATCAGACATGTTTATGTAGCCTCTGGAAAACTCAGCTCTACACTCGTGAGAGAATGGGAGTGGAAAGTAATGTCTTGGTATTATCATGAAAATAGTTTTGACCTTGAGAATTCTCCAGGATTTTCTGAGGGACATCTGAAAGTCCCAAGACCACATTTTGGGAGCTGCTGCCATAGAGAGTAAGTCAGAGGAACTGAGCACTTCACCCTTCCTTTATAAAGATTGAGCTGGCAAAACTCATCGTTTTGAATTTTTTCAACTACTATTATTTGTTTTACACAGAGGTTCTCTCTTCTACTTGATGAAGGCCATAATTAGTCATAAATAAATGTAGGTGCTTAAAATTTTACATGTCTGTCTTTTCACTTTACAAATAATATTCAGCCACCACGTGGTGGACGTTGCTGTAGGCCAGCCTCGGAGTGACGACTGCACAACAGGTCGGGTTGGAGACGTGGGGCTCTTGCCAGAGAGGTGAACTGAGTAAAGACCTGTCGTGGAGGCTCCTGTGTGCCCTTGCGTGAAGTTGAGCACAGTCTTCTTTTGCTTTTTTATTCTTCTTGTCTGTTTCCGTACCCCCTTTCTAATTCCTAGTGTCGTTTGCAATCTTGGAGGACAGACTTAGCCAGAGAAATATCTGTTTTATAGGTCTTTTGGAAGAACTAAGGTGCAACCATGTTATTTAGACTTAATTATATTTTCCTGATTTCATGGATTATAATTGTGGTGGTTTTTGATGTTTTTTGTTTGTCGTTTGGCAGTCCATATTTTCCTTCTCTTGAACTCATCTGGCTGGTATTTATTATTCTTATTATGATGGTAAGGAGGGGCAGCTAAGCACTGACACGTGTCCTTTGTTTTTTTACCCTAAAATGGTGCATAGGTGGTCCATGTTGAGTCTTTGCGTACATAAAAGTTTTTATTTTTTCCTGGTAAAAATAAGTTTTTATTTTATTTGATTGATTGATTGATTGATTGATTTAAGGAAGATTAGCCCTGAGCTAACATCTGCCGCCAATCCTCCTCTTTTTGCTGAGGAAGACTGGCCCTGAGCTAACATCCATGCCCATCTTCCTCTACTTTATACGTGGGACCCCTCCTGCAGTATGGCTTGCCAAGCAGTGTAAAGGTCTGCACCCAGGATGCGAACCAGCGAACTCCAGGCCACCGAAGTGGAAAATGCATACTTAACCACTGCACCACTGCACCGGCCCCAATAAGTTTTTATTTTTGTGTGCTGGTTTCTCTAGGTGTAGAATTCTGGAATCATGATCTGTTCCTCAAAAACTTGTAGATGTTGTTCGGTTGTCCTTAAGATGGACAGTGTTGAAGACGGGGAACCTAGTGTTAGTCTGCTTCTCTTTCTTTTGTGACGACGTGTGTCTTCTACCTGGAAGCCAATATAATTTGCTCATATACTGTGAATGCAGAAGTCTTACCAGAGTATATTTTGATTCTTTTCCATATTTCTCCTTAAAATGTTGAAAGTTTTTCTTCCCCTCAAAGATATTTTCTCCTGTTACCAATTTTTTTTTCCTTTCCAGTCTGTTCCTTCTGAAGCTTTTACTGAGGAGACATTAGATCTCTGCTTTTCTCTTGTTCTTTCTATCTGCTTATCTTTATTGCTACCATGTGAGAAAACTTCTCAATTTAGACTGTCAGATCACAAATTTAGTTTTCCATAGTGCATATCCTGTTAATTCCTCTCTTTTAAGTTTCAGCTATCATATTTTGAATCTTCAACAGCTTTTCGTTGTTCTCTGATTCTCCTTTATCATGTTAGCCTGTTCTTATTTTATGGATACTGTATTCTGTCAGATCTCACCAAAGATACTAACTAGAATTAAAAAAAAATTTTTTCCAGCTTCTTCAATTATCTCTGTTTAATTGGGGGGTCTATTTGCTCTGCTTGTTCAGTTTCACACTTAGTTTCACATTGTTTATTTATTTGGTAAAATTCTTATTATGAGCACATCAAATGTAAACATAATTGGGGAAAATAGTGTAATGAACTCCCATGGACTCATCACCAACATCCTTCTGTTCTTATTTCCTCTACTACACCATCCTTGATGCCTTTTATATTTTGGCTGAACTAAAAAATCCTATAAATCTCATATATAGAATTTTACTTGAAATATTTCAGTTTGTCACTTTAACAAGTATGGACTTTAAAAAAATATGTAGCCGTAATACCATTATCACGTCAAAAAAAAATCAATAATTTTTTAATGCCTCCTAATACTCAATTCATTTTCTCCAATTATCTTTAAAATGTCTTTTTTGAGTTGGTTGGCTTAGTTCTTAAGACCTTTTTAAAATCTATAAGTCTCTCCCTTTCCCACCTTACTACATTATTTATTTGTTGTAAAAACTGGGTCATTTGTTTAGTAGAATTTGTTATATTTGGCTTTGACTGATTATAGTGTTGTGCTATTTAACATGTTTTTCTATCCTCTGTATTTCATATATGCTGGTAATTAAAACAGAGGCTTGATTAGATTCAGCATGTCTAGATTGTTGAATTTCTCCACTCTTTTGGTGGCTTTTTGGTTCATTCGTAGTTACAAAGGAAAGTCTAGATTCGTTTGTTTTGAGAGGTGGTAGGAGCCCCCTCAGCAGTTCTCGTGGTGGAGGGCAGGTGTGCTCTGCATCTGCAGATGGGCCATCTTCCAAGTGGAGAGGGCAGGAACCAGCCACAAGTCTTTTCCTTTTTCGTGTACAGGTGGAGAAGAATGTGGCACACTGACTCCATGAATCCAGGAGAAAGGAAGTGGGAAGGACTTTCATGGAAGAGAACAATAGGAGAGTTCTAGTGCTTAGCTGAGCCAGTTGGGTTTTTTTGCGTTTTACCTCCTTGTTGTGGCAGCCCAGAATTGGCTTCTGCCCTGCCTAGTTTTTGTCTCTCTCTCTGATGCCCATGTTACAAATCTACTGTGGAACTGCACCAACTCACTTCTTTCTTACTAAGTCCTGGAGGTGAGCGCCAGAGCAGAACAAGGCTGTGTTTCTTCTCGAAGATCTTGGCTTGTTTGCGTCGTTGGCTTTTCCTGAACACAAGCGTGGGGTTTTCTGTGGTTGCTGGGACAGCTTTACTTTTCAGGGGGCTCCTTGGTTTGCTTATTTTCGCTTTCACACTTCTGAGCTGTGATTGGTTTTTCTGTCAGTCTTGCCTTAGGTGCCACACCTCTTTCAAATTTATCTCCTTTTTGTCTACTGATGATACCTTCCTCTGTTTTCCAGGCCTGTTTTTTTTCTGTTATATTTAAGAAGGAGAAGTAAACACATGAGCACAGTTTTGCTATCTTGAACTGAAAGTCTGATGATTCGCTCTTATATACTGTTTAACTCGCTGCAGAGCACTTCCATGGCTTCTCAGAAATTGTGGACGTGGGTACTTCTTTTCTTCCTAAAGCAATCATATTTACTCAAGCCTCTCTTCCCCATTACAGATATTAAAAAATATTACTTGGTATTCAGAACGAGTTTTAACTGAAATTTCTCTGGGGAGTCTCCTGATATTGGTCGTAATAAGAACCATTCAGTACAACATGACAAGGACAAGAGTAAGTATTCCAGAGTTATTTTGCTATCTTTATGAACACAGTGCAATTAAGACTATAGTGTAGAGCAGTCTCAATATTTACAGTGCTAACATTCTCATGAAATATGGTGGGAAGATACAGATCAGCGTATGGTCGCTGTATTACATGATCCTAAGGTAATGTGTACAGTGTCTGTTTCTTAACATTTAATAGGTTGTGTGATCAGAGATGTTTTACATGAAATAGAAAACATGCAGCGGGTCACATTTAGGTAAAAGATGTTGTGTATCTTTGCTGGGCCAATGAAATTGATTTGCCTTTTAAAAGCAGCAACAACAAACTGGAAGAAGATACAAGCGCCAGAAAATGTGACCTGAGATGGGAAAGAAATGTAGAAGAAAGAGAATCCTTTAAAGAGTGAGAGGGAAATTTTGGCCAGATTGTTGTATTTGCAGTACCCGGGAGCAAATTTCAGTTCCAGTTGATAGAGAAGCAATATACAGAACTCATAGCTCAGAGAAATGGTCAGGTTACTGCACTGTTTTCAGTTATTTCCCTCAGTGGGGCTAACATAGATACATGTCCACAGTCTTTTATCTGAAACTCCAGGAGCCAGACATGTTTTAGAATGGAGAACTTTTTGATTTTAGAAAGATAATTATAGTGCATATGCTACACTCTGTGTAACGATTAGGTTCTGGAGCAGCACACTATAATTAAACATTAATATTTCTGCTACGAAATATTTCAGAGTTCACCAGGGTGGGCATAATGAAGACCATAAATAGCAGCGTAATCTTTTGTGCCAGGTGTTGCTTCCAAATGAGTGATGAAAAAACTTTGAATTTTCAGAGCTTTATGGATTTTGGAATTAGAGAAAAGGGATCGTGGACATGAACTTTTTAAAATCAGGGAGTATTGAGTTTAAATTTGCTTCTAGTTAACCTTGTTTAAAATGCAGAAAAGACTGGATGTATGTTTTAAACCTGCTGTTTTCTGACAGGACAAGTACCTTCACACAAATTGTCTGGCAGCCTTAGCAAATATGTCGGCACAGTTTCGTTCTCTCCATCAGTATGCTGCCCAGAGGATCATCAGGTAAATATGAACTTTAAAAGAAATACTAATTTTTGCCTTCTGGCAACCCTGTTGAAAAAGATACTATGCTGGTCCCTTTTTAAATGTTATCTGTGAGGAATATCAAATTTTTTCTCCTTAATTTTTATCACCTTCTTGTTTGGTTGAAAATACCTTGTTCTGCTTTGTTTTCTAACCCAATTTTTTGATCAAGTTAATTGTCTTTACTTTCGACCTTTTCATAAAATCTGGTTTTAAGCTTTGTGTGTTAGCTTTTTATAGAGGAGCAGGTGTATTTCTTAGTAATTCAAACTAAATCTTAATTAGCATATTTGCTGGGCATTTTATAGAGCATCACACTACTGTTTAAGGAGTTATCTGTGTTTGTTTTAAAGAATTCTTTTCATAGCAGCTTACCATTATGTTAGTTTCCTATTTCTGCCATAACAAATTGCCACAAAATAGTGGCTTAAAACAATACAAATTTATTAATATGATTCTGTAGGTTAGAAGTTTGCCATGGGTCTTACTAGGCTAAAGTCAAGATGTTGGTGCCAGCCTGGTGGTGTAGTGGTTAAGTTCGCATGCTCCACTTTAGCGGCCTGGGGTTCACAGGTTCATATCCAGGGCATGGACCTAGCACTGTTCATCAAGCCATGCTGTGGTGGCATCCCACATGAAATAGAGGAAGATTGTGACAGATGTTAGCTCAGTGACAATCTTCCTCAAGCAAAAAGAGGAAGATTGGATGTTAGCTCAGGGCCAATCTTCCTCACCAAAAAAAATAAATAAAATAAAAATAAAGTCAAGATGTCAGTAGGGCTGCATTCCTTTCTGGAGGCTCTATAGGAGAATCTGTTTCCTTGCCTTTTCCAGCTGCTAGAAGCTGCCCGCATTCCCTGGCTTGTGGCCCCTTCCTCCATGTTCAAAGCCAGCAACAATAGGTTGTTGAGTCCTCACATCTCATCACTTTGACCTCCTCTTCTACTTTGAGGATCCCTGTGATTGCCTTGGCCCTACCAGAATAATCTACTCATCTCGGGGTCCTTAGCTGGATCACAATTGCAGAGTCCCTTTTGTTCTGTGAGGCAGCATATTCACAGGTTCAGGGGATTAGCATGTGGACATTTTGGGGGAGCATTATTCTGCCTGCCACAGTGTCACCATAACCCCACCATAACCCTTCCTCCCCTTTGCCAAAGACATGATCTTTAATAATAGGAAAGCTAGTTAACAAATGATAAATGAATGTCATTTTCAGGGATTTTTAACATATGTGGGTACTTCCTGGTCTTCAGTCAGGACACTCAATATTGTCCTAGCAACTCTCAAGTGGAACATTTGTTATGTAGTGAGAAGTCAGATCGTTTCCTTTAGTTCTTGCTTTGGGGGAAATGGAGTGCTGATGATTAGTTTTGTGTTCCAGTCATTGGTGGTTATCACAACTCCGTATCACTTTTAAACTCTCATCTCACTTTCTATCCATTGGTTAGAGACATCGGGCTCTTATTGACGTGGGCTCATTTTTAACAGTCACTCAGAACTAACTTATATTCTCCATCTGTTTGTTTATCCACAGAATTTAGCAGAGGATATGTTCCACTGACTCACTGTTTAATTTAGGTCTGGTCTTAATACATTGTATTGGATTATTTTTTTGGTTTGTACCTGAGAGGTTGTCCATTTGACTGACTTTGGACTAACACTAACTTCGTGATTTAAAGTAAACATAGGTCACCTCATACCTCAGATTCTTCCAGGTGTTCTGAATAGCCTTCAGTTTATAAAAATTAACCTTTATCACCATGCTTTATTTCAACATGACAGATCTAATGGTATCTGTGCTGCTTTGTGGTCTATTTTGCTTTTTATATATGTGGAATTTTATGATGGTTTTATGAAGATTTCATTACAAGGTTAATTTTCCTCAACTGATATATGAACATTTGGCCTGTTTAATATGAAAATGCCAAATGAACTGGTTCATAATTTAAGTTCTGATAAAATGTGTGAGACACAATTAAGTAAAACTTTTCTAGGTGTAAGAGTTGGAAAAAAGCGAATAAAGCACTGTGCCCAATTTTCTATCTGTGATGACTAAAGATAGAAAATGAGTTGTATTTCGAGAAATGAGAAACATAATTTAGATTTGTGAGTTGGGAATATTTAGATCAAGTTTATCATCAATAAGGACTAGTGCTTTACTTCATTTTAATGAAATTTTATTGAACATTGTATTAGTGAGGAATGGTATTGGTGCAGGGAATTCTCAAATTAGTTATAAAAATTCCTGCCCTCAAGTAGCTTGTACTTAAGAAGCCAAGGTAAGACAAGGACCAACATATCTTATATACAGCAGAATGTGGTAAATATTAGAAAGAAAAATTCCTATGGTGACGGTGAGTGGTCGGGTCAGAGAATGATGAGGTCACATCTCATTGAGAACTTAGGCAAGGTGAGTAGAAAGAGATGGCTCTCGAGACTGGCCTATCAAGGGAGAGCATCAACCACTGCAAACCAAAACAAAGCAAGAAGGGGTGGGATGAGAGAGCATGGTTTATGCTTAGGAAATGACCCATTCACTTGGCATATTGTGAACCTGCATAGGGATTGTGGGAGAGAAGCCTGAAAGAGCCAGCTGGGGGCTTCTTGTGGAGGGGCTTATGTATTACATCCACATTTTAGGGAAATGGAGGGAATAGAGAGAAAAGAAAGTCTGATCTTCAGTAACAACAAAAAAGAAAATGTGAATCAATTTTTGTAAGTGGATTTTTAAAGAAATAATTTAATGTAAATTTCTAGTCATCAGTTTCAGCAGATGGTGTCAGTATGCTCTGTTTGTCACACCGAGGGACGTGCAGTTCTAACAAGTTCCCATGTGGTGCCAGTGCTTCTGGTCCAAGAGCCACAGCTGAGCAGCCAGTGTGGACCGAGCATCCGCATCATACGGGAGGGAGCTTGTTAGAAATGCAGTGTCGGCCCAGCTTCAGACCTGCTTTTGTTTTAACATGATCCCCAAATGATTTGTACCCACGTTCAGGTTTAGAAGGCACTTTGAGTTTGGGCCTGAGAATCAAGGTTTATTCCCTTAGGAAATACTTGTCTCAAATGGGAAATGGGGGCCAGCTTTTTTGTGTTTTGAGCAAACTCATTTTCTACTAAATGTGTTTAGGGTATAAAATTGTAAAGTATGATAAGGAATGCATAAGAAAAACTATTTAGATACACAGAAGATTATTATGGCAGTACAACAACTGAAGATTCACCAGATGCTCTGGTAACTCCTTCAAGTGAGAAGTAAGCAGTTTTCATATACAAGTTTTCTAAATTCTCTTTCAGGAAGAGACTACAAAATTTTGTATTTGACAGTTGCAAAATTTAGAAGAGCTAATATTTCATGTGATCTTCAACAAAATGCAAAACAAAGTAATGTTTCATTTCTGTGAAAGTAGGATGTGATACAGCTTTTAAAAACCTTAGCTGCACATAAATGTAAAGAATGATTTCATATGGTATCTAAGCTGTTGTTTCATATTTAATGACTATGTCTTCCACAAACTGGGTATTCTAGAACATCACAAACATAGATGATTTGGGTTTTGCTCAACTCTGAAGTCTTTTGAATATGTGATGAGCATGGATATTTGATATCATTATTTGGGGTTAAAAGGTTATTAATTCAATTAAAAACATTTATAAAGAATAGATTATATACAAGTGGTTGTTGTGGATTACAAAGATGTCATTACTTCCTTCCTTCCCTTAAGACTTTCCCTATTGCCTCCTCTTGCATCCCCACCAGTGGCTACTTCCTCTGGCTCCTCCTTCACCTTTGGCTTAACAGATACTTTTCTCCAGTATTTCATCTTTGATTGTTTTCTTCTTCTCTTTGCTCATTTTCCCTGCAAGTTCACATATATACCTGTGACTTCACCTGCTATGCCTTTTCTATTGAAAACCATCCAAATCTACATTTACAATCCCAGTCTTTCTCTTTTTTCTTGAGGCAGGCAGTACAGTGTAGTGGTTAAGAGCACAGACTCTGAGTTTGGGATTCCAGTTCCAAAACTCACTGGCTGTGGAATCTGAGAGCAGTTACTTCACTTCTCTGTGCTGCAGTTTCCCCATCTGTTAAATGGGGTGACAGTAGTTGCTGTCTCATTGAATATGGCAGGGATTAAGTGAGTTAATATTTGTAAATGGCCTGGCACATAATATGTACTATATAAGTGCTGGCTAGCTGAACCCTAACTCTACCAACCTCACTACCTGGATATCCCCCACTTAGCTTAAACTTTTATTGTGTTTAAAGCTGAATTCATTTTTAAACTTGCTCTTCCTTTTAAATTCCCTATCCTCGGTAATGGCCCCCACCACAGCAACCTAAATTGCCAAGCCAGAAACCTACAGGGGAATTCTTTACCATTTCTCCCTTCCCCTCAAATACTGTAGCTCCTTGGGCCCTGGAGTTCTGTCTGACTCTCCCATTGTAACTTGCGTTCATATTCTCTTTTCTGTCTCCACTACTACTGCCTTGGTTCCCATGGTCATCATCTTTACCTAAACTGTGTCTTTCGTCAGCCTGGTCCTTTTGTCACCCTCTTGCCTCCAGAGTCAACCTCCACACTGCTGCATTCATTTGAAAAGTCACTCTGATCATATTGCTCCCTATGCTTAGAAGCATTAAATGGCTTCCATTGCTAGCAGGTTAAAATTCAACCTCCTTAGAGCAGTGGCTCTCAACCATGGGTAATTTTGCCCCAGAGGACATTTGGCAATATCTGGAGTCAGGTTTTTTGGTTTTTTTTTTGTTTTTTGATTGCAGCAACTGCGGAGGAGGTTGCTACTGACATCTAGTGGGTAACGGCCAAGGATATTGCTAAATATTCCATAGTACACAGGACAACAAAGGATTATCTGCCCCCAAAAGTCAGTAGTGCTGAGCCTGAGGAACCTTGCCTAAGAGTGACATGATCTGGGCTCTGCCCTTTGCTCTTAATCTTCTTTTATACTTGACATAC